TTATTCGTATTATTACCAACTCTCATCCACGCAGTTCTTGTAAGAAACATTTTCAAAATTTAAGAATTCATACATTAACGGGGTTGTATATTCTAGAATTATTAAATTACATACATTCAGTTAAAAATGAGCTACCAGAAACAATGCATTTTAATCACAGGTATGAAACCCGAAATGAAAATATATTTAGACTCCCCAGACACCGTTTGACCCTATATGAAAAATCTCCATTGTACGCTGGGCTGAGATTGTACAATGTGCTTCCGCCATGCTATAAGTCATTAAGCAAAACCAAATTTAAAGATACAATAGATAATTTTCTTATTGACAAGGCTTTTTACTTAATTGAAGATTTTTACAGAACTACAATTTAGAATTTTTTTTTTAAGTGTTTAATTTTAAGTTAAAAGTTTTAATGTTAAATATTTTATGTATGGATTTAATTTTGACAATGCACCTATTCTAAATGTTATGACATGTATGGAATGTTTTGTGCAAATAAAGTCTATGTCTATGTCTATGTCTATGTCTATGTCAAATGTACCGGTACCGACATTTCACCATCGGTTCTCCGTTCTTTTACCAGGAAACAGGAAACGGCGGAACCGACATTCGACGTGAAGTACCAACACATCACTTAATGTGAATGATTAAACTTGTTTTATTTGTAAATAATAAGTGAAAGTGAATTAGTTTATTACAGGAATGTAGAAGTAGGGCTACCATAAGTTGTTGTTTATAGACTAATTAGTGATAAATTCTTGATAATTGCTTCCCACATTTGGAAGAATTTTAAAATTGATGAAGCAAACAACAGATTTGCGAAATGCAACATATTATTTAATATTATTATCTCTAGAGGTGTTAAGAATATTGTCCAACCAATGTGTTTGGTTGGGTCTAAAAACACTTTTAACATAATGAAATATTTAAAATAAAAACCCACAATACCAGTACAGACACTAGGCCTACAAAACAGCCTTCACAGTCACCAAAATAATCCTTTGTTACATTTTTTCAACAAGCCTGTACCTTAAACTAAGTTATAAGCTCAAATTTATATGTAGGCCTATTTTCTAAAAAGTTTTGTTCAAAACGTCCTTTCCATAAATACTTGTTCTAAATCTTCCTTAGAGCCAAGGGGATGGGCTCTCCCCAATCCTATTCAATTAGCAATAGAAGAAGCTCTACAAGAAGTGGCAACAATAGATAAGGGAATTTCAATTGGCTCCAGAATTAACATGTCGTCATTTTTGCAGAAACTTTAGAGGACCTACGCCAACTAACAAAAGTATTTCTGAACAAAACAGGACAATTAGGACTAAAAGTAAATGATGGGAAAACCAAATATATGCAATTTTCAAGAAATCAAGGTATAGCCCAAGACCCACTGCAGGTAGATGACCATAAATTTGAAAAAGTAGAACATTTTAAGTACTTAGGGGTTATCTTATCCAGGGAAAACAAAGAAGAAATAGAAATTCAAAATAGACTAAATCTGGCAAACAGATGTTTCTACGCTTGCAACAGACTGATGTCCTCTAAGTTACTGTCAAAAAACACCAAAGTTAGAATTTATAAGACAATAATAAGCCCAGTATTATTATACGGAGCTGAAACATGGAAACCGAATAAAAAAGAAGAAAAGAAGTTAATCACATTCGAAAATAAGATTTTAAGAAAAATCTATGGACCAATTTATGAAGGTGGTGAATGGAGGAAGAGACACAACAGAGAACTGAGAGAACTCTACAGAGATCCAGATGTGGTGTGTGAATTTAAGTGTAGAAGAGTTAGATGGGCTGGACATGTTTTACGAAGAGAGGAGCAAAATAAGTTAAAATTAGTTTTACTAAGAAATCCAGAAGGAAGACGACCGAGAGGAAGGCCAAAACAAAAATGGTGGAGCCAAGTAAAGAAAGACATGGAGCAACTAGGAGCAACTGAGGAGGATGCAGAGGATAGAGCAAGATGGAGAGGCTTTGTTGGTGCGGCCAAATATCTTCTTAGATATGCATGGCCCTGAGAGTAAGAGTAAGTAAATCTTCCTTAATATTAGAGCTTAAAATTAACTAAGAACAAGAACTATTAATTAACTATTAGAACTAGTAATGCAGGCTATAGGTACAAAATGACTCAAAACTACTTTCTTCTAAATCAGGCAATAACTTAGTTTAACACATTTTCAGAGCCACTTTTCTTTCCAAAGTTAGTAGCCTATGTTACATTTTTTGGTTTAGCAATGAATCATTTCAACATAGGCCTATATTTAACACTTATGCTTGGGAGCTCGCGCCTAAGTTGAAATGGTCGTAGATCAAGTATAGTCGCGCCTAAGTTGCAGCGCAGCTAGATGGACAGGGAATCGCGGGGAATTCAGGTTTTGACGTTGGCAACGGCCATTGCAGAACCCGTTACCGTTGACAACAACAAAAGATGAACACTTATTGAAGATGGATACAATTTTATCTTGGTATATCAATAGTGGCTAATTAGTAGACTATGGTGTATGTTTCTGCATTGTACCATTGCAAAAATGTAGTTTTGTAAGATCGTTGTTTTACATCCCAATGACTGAAGAACCTTAATTGTTTATATTAAATTCTTTTTCTAACTTTATTTTCACTTTACGATTTATAATTATTTAATCAGTTGTCCTTAAGTACTACTAGTTGTCTTTTAAGTACTACACCTTATAAATACGTACAGAGCAACATAGGATTAACATCGGAAACTCGGTTTCATGCAATAAAAAGCTTCAAAATTAAACAGTAATTTCCCAGTATAACATAGGGATGTATTGACAAAAAAAATAAAATAAAAAGTAATTGCAGAGGTTATGATTGTGTGAAGCCAAGGTAAATGTAAAAAAATATCTTTTAATACAGTACTTAGAAAAATTGTTGTCAATTTAAAATCTTTTTTTACATGACACTCTTTTATCTAATATTCCTAGGGAAGTATCTATTACCGTAGGTAGCACTTAGTTCCGGGACCGATAAACTTTTCCATTTTGATGTCCCTAGAGGCCAAAAACACTGTTCGTTCAAAATTTTATATATTATCAGCCTATATATAATGTATTATATATACGTCCATAAACGTGATAACTTGAGTAATTTTTGTCTGATTTTGATAAAATTTGGCATGAAAGTGTTAGGCGCGATTCTTCTTAATGAGTTCGCGAACCAGCATGATCAGACCAAGGGAACCCGGAGTTGTATAGGATAAAAATAGTTTTTTTCTCAATTTTAACCCCTATAACATAAATCTTTGTCTTTAAAATATTTTAAAGAGTATTTTAAAGAGTATTTTAAAGAGTAAAGAGTATTTTAAAGAGTATAAAAAACAAATTAATATCTTAAAATGTTTTGTACGGTTATTGGCTACAGAGACTATTGGTAAAATTGTAAATTTTAAATTCCCATGTGATTCTTATGGAGAATAAGTTAACTGTTCTAGTGTGGTCGTTTTTGGATGTATTTTTATGAAACTTGGCAAATTTATTTATTTTTTATAAAGCTGTTAATATTTTGTTAAAAAACACACTTTATTACCCTCCCTGTAGGAGCATACCTACACCGTAGGTAGTTTCAGGTGCTTGTTAAACCTAAAGTTATTTAAATAAATTTAATTGAAAGCTCTATTAGGTTATTTGGAAATTCGCTTAGTCTGCAGGTTTTCTGTGGTGGGTTATTGATATACTGTATATATTTTCTTATACTCCAAATAATCTAGGTACTCCATTTTGATGTAACTAGCACTTGGTCAATGACACTGAACTGAGCTCTATCACAACGCAATTAAAAGATAACGATTATGACTGTGAGCAATTTGCAGTTTTTTATGTTTTGTTTACTATCTCTTCACTCTTTCGTAGGGGGTGAGTGGGGGGTATGCATGTGGTTGCTAATTATTTCCTTACTAATAAAATATTTATAATTAAGGTACGGGTGCTTATAGCCAAACTCTCAGTTGAAAGAAATTCTATTTAGGGTCCATATTTGTATTGCAGTTAACAGTAAAAACAAAAACCAAATAATCTTTCGTTAAATTTAGCTTTCTGCAAGATTTTTGTTTTATTTTGAACAACAAAAAACTAAAAAAAAGTTTTATCAAATATACTTTGAGAGTAATGAAAATGTTCGGAATTTAATAACGAATTCCAATATAACATTATTTTAGTTAATATGTAAACAATTAACTTGCTAATGAGCTAATACCGGCATGATGTCGACTTAGACCTGCCCCCTGGCAGGACTAAAGTTAGGGACTAAACTCACTGATTTTTATGACGAAAACATATCTCTTATCCCGAAATTGGTCTCCCAAACCCACCGAGACTATCTCTTAGGCTGGCGCCTAAGTCTACTTGACTCCCAAACCAACAATATTTAGGCGCGAGATTATCCCTGCACAAGTTCGGCGCCTTACTGATCCCGAGCTCACAAACCCGTTTTCGAGGCGGCAGCCTAAAATACCGGAAATATCTGGATTTAGTCGCGGACTAGCGCTAATACCGAGCTCCCAAACCGCCCCTTAATGTCCTATTATAACGAACCTACACTAATGAAAAGTAGGTACTGAGTTTTAAAAAATGAAATAGGGATATTTTGTTTAAAAATTTAAAAAAATAAGTAGCATAATTTAAAATGAGGTACCGATGGTACCGGAACCAAGAATTGATTTTGGTTAGAAACCGGTACTGGTGCCGATATTGAAAAAGTGGTACCGACCCATTACTAATACTAACCCTAGTCTGTAAAGTCCTACATAAATAAAAAGTGCACACTCACACAATACTATTATTTTACAATAAGCTTTTTGGTTATGTGGATTAGGAATAGGGAAAGATTTAGCTATTTAGGTTAGGTAGTCCACTTGAGTTTTTGACAGGTAGTAAATACCCAAGGTGTTAGGCTAATTTCCATCTCCTCATAGAGGAGTTGCTTTGAACTTGTTTGAGATCTTGATCTCTGACACAGGATAGGAAGAATTACCTCGTATATGAAGGCGCTCATCCGTTGACTGACGCTGAGCATGAGCAGGGTGGTGGGGAACAGTACCAGGTACCTGTCTCTGTGGTCTGGCCCTACAGCTACTGAGCCCATGTGTAGTATGTCTCCTAGGGTGGCCAGGTCCTCACCCTCCCATCCTCTCACCCCTCCACTGACTACCTCTAGCTCCATCTCCTTCTGCCGCCTCATCACACAGCACGCTGACTGTAACATGCAGAAGCAGCTACGTCAAATCAAATCAAATTATCTTTATTCATCAAGTACATTAGAAATATATACATGAATAGTGTCACATTTCTTATAAGTTATAATAAAATATACATGCTTATAGTAAATGGGAAAAACTGTAAAAGAACATAAAACTAACAGTTAAAACATACTTTGATTAGTAGGGAAAGAAAAGTCAATTACAGTTCATCAAATGAATAAATAGCCCTGCTAATGAGAAATTTCTTAAGTTTATTTTAAAATTTTTTTATATTTACTTCTGCTTGTATGTCCTTTGGAAGTTTATTATAGAATTTTGTTCCGGCGTATTTGGGTTTTTTTTTCGAAAAGGCGCAATTTATGAGGAGTTAATGCTAACTTGCCTCGATTTCTTGTAAGATAATCATGTTTCTTTCCAACCAGCTCTATTTCATGAAATCTGTTTTTAACGGATACCACTGTTTCAAAAACATACATACCGAAAACTGTCATTATATTTTCTGTTTTAAACATTCTCTTAACAGAAGTTCTAGGTGGAAGGTTGTAAATTATTCTTATAGCTTTTTTTTGCATTCTTAATATAGATTTTAAGTTTCTCTTATTGGTTGAGCCATAAAGGGAAATCCCAAATGAAACAACGTCAATAACATCAATTAAGCAAAATGTTCTAAGAATATTTTAATTTTTGGTAAGTAGACCTATGTTTTTTTTTCAGATATTATACTTTTCACCTTTTTTATACTTTTCATTGTAATTTCAACCATACAACGGTAGGTATTTTAAGCCAAGTATGAATGGAGATGAGTGTAGGATGAGTGACGCGATCTTGTAGTCTTGTTAGTGACAAAGGCATACATATTTCTTAGACACAGCGGTTAATTAATAACCCATACAGCTAATGGAAACTAAGGGACCCACAGTTTATACTGGAATTATAACTTGTATTTCATTTTAAATTGTATTTTACTTATGCCAAGGACTTGTGTTTGGACCTCTTTCGGAAACACTGACCACTAGGCTTGCAACACACTCTCATAACATGTTCCACATTACATTTATACTGTAAATGAGTAGATTTGGAAAACGTTTTTCACAGAAACTTTCAAATAAAATATCAATAAACCACAGACTCACAGCGATGTCCTTGTAGACGCAGACTGAGCGCTGAGTGTCGCCTCGGTCTACATGTGCCTCCTCCACGTGACGTTCCAGTTCAGTCAACATGCCTGCGTACTTGTCCAGCCGACGGAACGGCTTGCTGAGGCCTGTAGTCAGCACCAGCAGTCCAGGACTGGCAGCACCATTAGCCTCCATTAGTGCTCCTAGCTCCTGCCTATAGATTGAAAGTTTTAAAGTCATTTTCTACTTCCGAGGATGCCTAGTTCTAGCCGGGAATTGTTTTACATATCACATCAGGCAAGGCCTAGAGGGTTCGTGATATTTTCACATAGCTTATGCATTGGTGATTGGTATGATTTGAACCAGCAACCTCCGGGATTGATAATTGAAGTACAGTAGACCCCCTCTTAACCGACCCTAATGGGACCGGACCTAGGTCGGATAACTCAAAAGGTCGGTTAAAACGGGCAATCCCTAAAATCACAACATAATGAAGTGCTATTCATTTGGAATTATATAATCATTATTTTGAAGTCATACTTGCATTATTTATAAAATAAACTACTCTTATCTCCTTTTTCTTATTGATAGAAAAGTCACAAAACACGGTTAAGTCAAATAGGCCTACTTTCAGTGGAATATATTATAATACTAGGCAAGAGTCAATAAAAATTCCTATTTTGATAACTTTAGTACTGTAATGTATTAATTGATGCTTTCCAAATCCATTGTAACAGAGTACAGAACCTTTTGTCAAGATTAAAAATACAAGCAACCATTTTGTTACAAGACAGGATGTTTATTTATAGCCTCTCACTGGGGGCTCGAGGCACAAAGTCTATCTTGACCTTGGAGTTGTTCACCCCCCTTCCCTGCCCTCCCTACAAGTTGCGTTGTTTGTTTACTCCAGCGATAAGATAATCAGTTCTCAAAATCGTAACGCACTTTATGATGTTATTAATTTGCCGCACAGATAACAAATCAGATCAGATGTGCTCGCGCTATGAACGATGATGACAAACTGACAATAGGCTATGCTATATTTTTTGTTATAAATACAAAATAACTTATTCTTAGTCATATCCTGTGGAGATAAGCGTATGGTTCAGTTCTCATCGCCCAGCGTGGGAGCGGAAATGCAGCAATTCTTAGAAAGCGGTGGTGAAACCGAACTTCTCTCAAAGCAAGGTCGGTTAAAACAAACTGTATTATTTTACAATCGAATGCGGATAATTAATCGATTATCGGTTAATACGAGGTCAGTTAAGAGGGGGTCTACTGTACAGCTAAAGGATTAAGTTTGAAGACCAGCATTGTAATAAAGTTAATCATTACAAACCACGCTTTGCTGTACCGTATGGACATTTTCAGCATGAAAATTACGGTTTAAAATAAATCTTTTGCCTCTCTTATGCTTATGTGATAAAGACTTAAATTAGAGTTAATTACTTTCATTTGATGACTTACTATGCAATAAAAAAGTTGTCTTAATTCAATTACTAATTTTGTTTTTACTGGATGGTTGAAAAAAATGGACTGAGAAGAAATTAACTAACAACTGTTATAATAAATAAACATCTTAACTATTAGCTTAACATAACTAGGGGAGATGTAAGAAACTGACTTGTATCTGTCCAGGATGCAGACGGCACGAGGATGTCCGGCGCAATAGGTCATGTGGATTTGCTTCAGTTTCGGCGCGGAGGTGAGGAACAAGTTGCCTACCCTCTGTTCCACTGCTGCCCGGCCCGCCATCTCCTCCAGGCTGGCCAGCAACCTCTCATGTACCTCCACCACCTCTGGCAAGTTGCCCAACAGCTGCTGGTACTCTCCTGGCTTCATTCTATAACACATGACATCATCATTTGGTGAGACTAGACTATTTCAAATTAACATAAAATGTTAAGGTCCACACTTCATTTAATGACAAAAGGCTTGAGCGAATCCATATACCTATGATCAACGTTTTCACTAGATAATTTTTCAAAATTTCCTTCTACCATCAAAAGTGTTTTAAATATTGTTAAACTCGGAACAGTCATTACTCCTTATTCTTTAAAAATTGGCTTATATGATGTTTTCCATGGTGCAAATGTCTTTATTCTTAATTTTTTTCTTAATCCTAAAAATTAAATCAATGCTTGATGCAAAGCCCCAGAATTCAATTCCATATTGAAGAATTGAATTAGAAGTATGCATAATATAACACCAACGATTTTTTAAGTCAATTGTGTTTCTTAGACATATTATTTGATAACAGGCTGAATTCAGTCTGCCGACTGGTCCAATAACAGGATGGTACAGACACATTAGAAAGCTTGAAGCTTCAAGGTCTTAAATGATCAAGATTCAGTAATATGATATATTGATTGATATCACTCACATGTCAGAAGTCTCTAGAGGTCGTAGGAAGTTGTTGAGGAGGCCCTGCAGTTCTGTGACATGTGCTCTCTCAGAGTCTATGAGATCCTTCAGTACAACACTGCGGTAGACCTTCTGTTGTGCTGCCAGGTCCAGTGCTACTGGCGCTACTGGGCTCAGACTGTCTGTAACAACAGATGAAACTTATGAAATCTCTAGCTTGTTACAGACAGCTTGACAGAATACTTTTAATTTTTATCTTCTGAAGTTTTATCAATTATGAAATTTTTGAGCTTAGTCACAAAATTACTATTTAATGTGAAATATATTGTTTACGAGGCCTGCTAAAAAAAGAAGGTCTTAATCCAGCTCCCAGTCACGACCAAGCAACATAGTTGAAAATTAACACCAGTGCCGTAACTAATCTAGACAGTCCCCACTTCTATGCAAGGATTTCTCAAATAATATAATAAAAGAAAAAACAATGAGAATGAAAACCGATATACATGCCAAGTATAAATTGTCCTACGTGATTATATTTCTGTTATCTTTGAAGACATCAACCAAAACTGAAGTCCTGCTCCAGTTGACAGATGGGAATGTAGTAGAGTGATTGGATGTATATAATGTATGTAAGGAGAAGAGGAAGCTTGAAGGTGGTCCTTAGTATGATTTCAAATATGTTTTGCCTGGAGCAGATCAACTTCCATTATTCATCATTCTTGCTTTTAACAAATATAGGCCAACCAAATTTAGGAAAATTTAGCAAGCCGATTGCGGTTTGACTGAACAAGAGATTGACGACCTGTTAAGGGGCATATTTAAGACCAAGATGTATGGAGTAAAAGAGGTGGGCCAGACAAAGCGGACTGCGCTTGATGACGTCACTGCAGTCCCGATCGCGGCCGCCTTGCCGCTAGATACATGCTAAACCCTCAAACGTCGTTACACGTTATGACACAAATAACTCTGTCTACTAAATAATGATTTTTATGATTTAGAATTAAAATTAATTGTGAACAGTTTGACAATAATAAATAACCAATTAGGCATGTATGTTGCATAGAAATGGTGGAATGCGGGCGTCTACCGATACGGTCAGAATAATAATAACACTTCACACAGAATAATTTTAGAGAAAGATATAACACTGCCCTTTTTTTAGGTTTGTTAGTAAAATATATGTTTTAGCACTAGGTAAAAAATTATTCAACTGTTTTTCGGTGTTAGATATAAAAGAAACGTGATCCTTTTTCAGTTTTCATTTCTTCTTTTTCTGTTCAATGTTAAGCTTATTGGGTGTGAAAAAAAAACAATCACATTATATTTTACATGAGAATCATAAATGTTGCTTACAAATCAAAGTCAACTATGATATTACTATTTTACAGAAATTAAATAGACTACAAAACTCTTTTTGGATAAATGGCATTGAGCAAAGAATACTCTCAGAGAATACTAATGATTTTCCTCAAGCAAAACTCGGTTCCCAGGTACTTTTTAAGAAATAAATAGTAATTCTGTATATATGTATATATATATATTATTTTTTTATTTTTCGACTTTATTATTTTAGTGTTAAGAGGATTTTTCTTTTATATAAGTGCACGTTTGTTCAGTGTGTTTATAATAGTTTACTTTCTGAAAACTTTACTTTCTGGGATAAAAAATTAAAAAATGCTAGGTATGTGTTTTGCTCTAGCTGTATATAATAACAGTTGCCTATTTTAAGACTAACACTCAATCTGACATAGGAGTCATATTTTAGATTTCCAAAGAAAGATACCCTCTGGCTGGATTCAAGGTGTAAAATAAATGATTTTTGGAATCCAGACGATCTTATATTTGTTTATTTTGAAGATTTTAAAAGGAATTTAAATTCATAATTTATGGGTTTGGGGAATGTAAAACATTCGTGAGCCCTGAATCAAACTTGTGTCTTCTGAAAAAAGTATTATCAGTGAGGCGGAATGTTCTACAAAATGGAAATTTAGTAAACTATACCGGGAAAACAAAAAAACGGTGCAAGCTAAGTTGTAAAAGTAAAACACCGTAGGCTTATGTAGGCTAAATGAAACTTGAGACTTTGGAAAAGGAATTTTAAAAACATTGAAAATTAAATATTTCAAAAGCCCTGATATGAAAAAACACCCCTGTGAAGAAAGTAAAGAAATTAAGCCATAAAGTTGATTGTTTACCTCTAGACCGTCTTGATGCTATTTGCTCAAAGAAGAATAGAGTAGTCTAATGAGATTGAAGTTTTTAAACAGGCAAAAACAAAATAATGGCAAAATTTTTAAAAACAATTAAATAAGATACGTCAGTAGTATATTGTAACAAATTTCAAGAGCTCTAATACCATACCATATGTATTTTTGACTGATTACATGTAGGCCTACAATGGAGAGTGATACATTACCTTGTAAATAAAGTGTTTTTATTTAAAATGTTTTTTTCTTTCCATTCATAAAAATAAAGTTCCATCCCTAATTACACTAATCTAATGAATGCGCATTACCAAAAGCCACTTTTATTTGATAAACCTGTATAGCGAACAATGTTTGTTTGTTTTAATAATTTGATGAGTTCTAAATCTAAAGGGTATCTTATTTACTTACTAATATATTCATGAAAAACTGTACTTAAGTAGGCTATCCTAAAAACATATACATCATAAAATTATATGCTATCTACCGAATCAGAGTAGATCTATTCTTAGTGTTATAACAACGGTTGCAGAAATGGACATTAATTTAATCAACCACTGATTTAATATTTGAGGATTAATATAATAAAGAATCTATATATTTAATTCGCTATGCATATTTTTGTCATAATTGTTTTAGAGCGGTGGTGCTACCGATCACCATGTCCAAGGTCAAGGTGTCGTTAGAAAGATCTTAGCATGTAGTTTTGCCATCAAACAAAAAAACTTGGGAATTCCATCAGGGCTCTGCCCCAGTGTCCTTCAAAGTTCCCATGTTATTCTTAGGGAGAAAATGTTTGTTTACATTTGAACAGATGAATACTTTGAAATTGACACTAATATTTAAAACAGCTGGTTATACTAAAATTGGAGACATGTGCTATAAGGATCTCTTATATTAATACGTGAGGGCTGTTTTTGTGAACAAAACTCCTCCGTTATTTCTGGATCAATTTTAACGTTCGAGGTGTCAAATAATTTGTCTCAATTCGTAGTTTTGCATAAAGGTTTTAAAATTTAAAAAGTCTTACCCTTAAGGGCACGAGACGCTCTCAAAGGTCACATTTTTCCCATAAGAATTACATTGAAATCAAATTTTAAAACAAAAACAGCTGTATATAAAAAGAAACTCACCAGCTTTTTGGGAGTAAATGTTGATGTTTGTAATATTTAGGAGGTTATAGACAAATCTAAACAATCAATCAGTTTTGTTGGAAGAACAGACAATTTCTTGAGTTTAAAGGAGAAATATTGAAAACAGGAGGATGAGACAATTAATAGGAAATCTTATACGTATGGGAAGAGTAGAGGAGGTCTCACAGTAAGGAATCCAGGTACACAATCACTTGGGGAGATGAAACATTTTTGCCAGTTATGCTAAGCAACTTTTTGGAAGTAAAAAAAACCATGAAGAATATGGACACTTCATGTTGTCACAGTGGTAAAGTAAACCTACAAAGTCAGACCTACATAAAGTCAGATCAAATAAATACATGCAAGAAATGTTTACTGGTAATAGCTTTAAGTTGGAAACATTTGTAGAAAACACTAAAAAATAAGGTCGGGTCCAAAAAATTCTAAAATATTTTTACAAAAAGCGTTTATTATTTCAAAGCGCTATTAAATAGCGTGAGTACTTCAATTAGCTACATAAGTATTTAGTCGGGTCTTTTAAACTTATAGAAAATTAAGACCGTTATTACTGTAGTTTAAAAATAACTTCTGTATGATACCGGTACTAGAAAATTGCTTGATTTCGAGCAACAGGTACACTAGTAATATATAAATATATTGGGAACCAAGCAAAACCAATTTTAACAATTGTGTTGTACAAACTGGCATAAACAACACAACATAACATCTAAAAGTGTTGTGTGCTGGCTATGAGTAGCGGCTCGAGGACTGCAGTGACGTCACCGCCTCGGCCCGATAGGCAACGGGAGAGAGGAGCGCGCTCTGTCTGGCCCACCTCTTTTACTCCATACGTCTTGATCTAAGTCTACCAGTGGTAAACTTTGGTAGTCTTGAAAGTGCCAATCAGCAAGCAAAGTTTTTTAAACTATAATCATTGTTTGAATAGAAACTGATTAACATGCGCTACCAGGCTAGTTGTGCACCATAGACTTCGGGGAACTATTGTTTCAATTACTTTGACCTAACTAATTGTAGTGAAGGGGTAACGTAGGGACCTAACTAAACAGAAGAGTAGTGGGGTAGTAAATAACACATTAACTTGATTAAGACCTTAATTCACAAGTCAATCTCGTAATTCTGAAACAAAAATCTTGATCATTTCTAAATTTGTAAAGTAGATGTAAATATTGTTTCATAAGGACAAACTTTTGTGCCAAAGTCACCGACAGTGGGTTCACAAAAAAGCACTAACTAAAATATTTTATTTTGTATTTTAAATAACCAAATAATATTTTTGCCAGTTAATGAAGGAATTCTTATCTATTCTTACTTTGAGTGCGGTACTCCTTGACGTAGTTGGACGGGAACCATCCTGTCTTTTCTCCAAAAGTCCCTTCCCACCACCCCCCCTCCTCCTTCTGGGTAACTGTGATGATGTCTCCCTTCTTGAAGCATAACTGAAACAAACCCGACATGGGGAAATTATTACATGAAATAAATACATTTTTGCGATTAGTAATGCTGATTAAATATTCTTTGTTGTGAAATATGGAATTTAGTAGTTTTTGTTTACAGTTACGAGGATTTTAAAGATAACTACCCACACAATCAATCTTTGACCTCTTGAAGTCCAAAATAGACTTACTCTCTTCGGACTACCAATACTCTCCCAGGCATATGTCAATGCCTCCAGCAAGGTAACCTTTGTCTCTTTTATTTTGTCTACAGTGGAGTGTTAAAACAAATGTTGCAGTTGAAGTCCTATCAACCAGTCCTAATGTTCCAGTCCTAAAGTGCTGATTGAAGTTGTAGTTAGTTGTATGGTGTTTGTTAACAATATATATATGTATGTATACAACTAAATTAAATCTGTATCACGAGTAGTGTACTGCAAAGCTAAATATGTAAAGGAACAAAAGATTGTATAAACTGATTATAAAATTGGTTTAACCTCCAATCACAGAGTTTACTGTTCACAGTTTGTTAAACCATGTAAAAATGCAGTGTCAATGACCTAACACCATTACAAATCACTTAAAAAAATATAAGGACTCTGCTTTAAAGTATGAACCTATTTCTTAGAAAACCCCAGAAAAATGGTCTTATTCATGACCATGGACCCCAACAGACAAAGGTTTGTCAAGTTTGATTAAATAAAAATACTAAGACCTGATTTTTCTGACTATTTAGGTTTTGTGTTTGGCAAAAGTTTGACTATTTAAATAACAAGATCTTAATTTCTGGCAATGTCAAAATTTCAAAATTAATTAAAGAAATTATCATGTAGCACTCCAATTTTACTGTTTTTTTTATTTGTTGGGTTCTTAAAATATTCACTATTCAAAATTAGACTAATAATTGGCCTTTAAGTTTCACTCTTTGTATTGGCATTGCTCCATTTCCCTATAGGAAAGTAGCTATTAACGTAGGTAGCACAGTAAGACCTCGGCCCGGGATTTTCATTTTGATGTCTCCAGAGGCCAAAAACACTATTCGTTCAAATTGTTATATAAATACTAATATTATTAATGTGAAAGTTTGTAGCCTATGTTTGTTTGGAGTTTAATCACATATTAACTACTGGTCGGATTGGGTTGAAATTTGGCATGATAATAGGCCTAGCTCACATTCCAGATAAACATATCTGAGCTTCATTCTGGTGGGGAATAGGCTATGCCTATATTTTTAATTGGTTAATGACCTTAAACGATGACCAAACATTTGATTTTATCACTTTAATAATATAGATATTTGTATACAATTTTTAAGAGCTCCCTGCAAAATGCAGACAATATTAGGAAAGCCTCTAGTGCTTTATCTGGGCAAATCAAATAACTGAAAGGCCAATAAGAGAAAACAAAATAATTAGTTTCTCGGTAAAATATTTAAATTAACTTATTCCAAGACAAAAAGGCCGTACAAACCCGTTGATATCCATCTATTATCTTTCAAAATAACAAGCTGCGACAACAAACATTTTCAGAGCCAAAAATAAATGGTTGAATGGAAAATCAAAAAGACCATAACGATACAGGCAAGTCTGATCTGCACGGATATTTCTGGGTCGGAACGTGTTTCTATAATTAACTGAGTTTGCTGCTATTTGTAGCTTTGCCGTTATTGACAGAGAGTCACTCTCCAGTATTAGCAAATTTTCCCTATTTGGAAGTGACTATTGCTATTATCTTTATGTTAAGACCACTAGACTCTCCCGATCGTAACACCCCCCTCCACCGCACCATGCCCGAATATACGCTTCCGAATTATACCCGCGCATCAGCATAGCCTAACTGTTTGCGGCAAATTGTTATATCTATCACTGTGACTGTTAAAACGTATCATTTGTAGGTTAAATTTAAATTTAATATAATTAAACTGTCCTAATAGGTCCTAACCAAACTTGCTGATAATAAAAAACTCTAATGAAGGTTTACTAATAAAAAAAAGGTAGTTCTGTTCTAAAAATAAAATTATAAATGACTCAAATTCAATTTTAAAATTTTTTAATTATAAAATTTAACTGTCACAATCTAACCAAACCAACCAAACTTGCTGATATCAAAAAAATTAGTGCTACCAGCGGGATTCGAACCCAGCACCTTCAGATTATCAGCCCGACACGCTATCCACTACACCACCAAGGCTCATGGCCCTGATCCGTATCGTTGCGGTAATGGTGTTCCCTCAAGAGAAGAGACTAACGTCACGCCATCGGTAAGGCGCGGTGGTGGGGTGTGTTACGATCGGGAGAACTTTTAGTTAAGGCCTAGGTTAAGGACCACTGTGCGTTTAGCAAATTCCTCGATAGGGAAGTAGCCATCATTATTCCTCATGTTACAGTAGCCATCTGATGAGGAAGACCTACAGTGCGTTCAAACAGCCGTGGCACCTGACGGATTAGGAAACCGCATGGAAATCCTTGGGGTCTCCTAATCCCTTAGGTGCCACGGCTGTTTGAACGCACTGTAGGCTGGATGTAATTTTTTGCTTTACATTTTGCAGTGGCAGTGGTAATAATTTACAACTCTACGAGTTGGTTATTTGGTTCATTTAATTATATTCTTATTCAACTAAAATTTTGGTATAAAATTGTATGACTTAAATTTTGTGATTCGGCTTGTATTTGGTCGGTCAATGTGGGCGCAAATTAAAAAAATTTTTTTTTTAATCTGATATAAAACTCATTTGTACAACGCAAATTAAATAAATCAATATAGGTAGGGCAAAACCTTTTTAACACTATGACTGATACTTCCTAATCTGTTATTTAATTTGACATTTTAAATTTAATTTGGCACTAATCCCACATAGTAACTTATTAGGGAGGGTCTACTGTACAGTGGCAAATATATACTGGATCGATTATTACAATAATTTACATCATTTTTTAAGGATTTGTTTAATTTATTTTTGACCCCACATTGCAAGTGCAACAAACTATCCTCTTTACTTTGTAACTGTCATAAATCCTGGGTTGTTTATCAGATAAATCTTCTGGTTAAACCAGGACAGCTGTTGCACAATCATTGATTGTATTTATTTTTAGCTGGCTTAGTTTGTGTCTCTTTGTAATAGTATTCGTACCTAGGGCCGAAAACGAGGTTTTGCTGGCTCGAGATAGTTTTTAAGTTCGAGACCAAGTCGAGAACTTAAATCGATCGAGAGCTGCAAAACCATTTTCGGTCCGTGGTACGAACACTATTTTTCACTACACTACTACTATTCACAATAATAATAATGAAAACTGATAGTCAACGCAACTTTCAGGTTGTGTGAAGAAGTAATTTCAGGAATCAGCAAAAATAATAATAAACAGTTGTTAGGCAACAGTGAAAATAAAACAATTCTATTTCAATGCTATGGATACTGTTTGTGTTATTAATATGCAAGCGGTCAGCTGATTTTGCGGCCCCGGGATGTAAAAACCTGCTCGGTCCCCAAATTACGATGACAGCTGGCATGGCCAGCAAAACGTAACTTTCAGCCACCAATTTACGTATGTAATACAGCCAAAAACATCATAGTGTGGTGAAAAAATGCTTGTGTGTCATGTAAGAATTTTTTCTGAAAGAAATATTAATAACTTTATAAACTCTATCAGCAAAATGAAATGGAATTCTACAAAAAATAACGACCTTTTTCTAAACAGTAATAACTTTTTTGGTTCTTTTCAAAGAATTTTTGAGGAATCTTTCCCTTTCAAACCTGTTAAAATTAAATACCCCCGCCGCAGCAAACCTGCAGACTAAGCGAATTTCGAATAAGCGTTCGAATAAACGTACGTTTACACGTTTGTACCAAATTTCATCAAAATCGGATCATTTTTGCTTGAGTTATCGTGCTATATATATATACACACATATATATATATATAAATATATATACAGGGTGACAAAAAAGTCTGGAAACGGTTTAATATCTATTTAACTAAATTCGTTAGAAAATTCAAACCTTCCACCTCAACTTACATGTATAAAAACTACTTTTTCCAAGAATTATCATTTTTTTACCTCTACTAGGGGACGACCCATGAGGAGTAGGTACATAATCTTTAATGTAAGCATAGGTTGATATGCACATCATTTTAAAGGTCTGGTCAAGTGAAGTTCATTGCCGGAAGCCGCGTCAAAAAAGGTTGATTCGTTACAAAATGGCGGCTGTCAAAAGTTCTTGTTGAATATACCTGCACAGGCCTTACTATTGGTAAATACTCGTATTAAACATTAGCTTGAGAGCTGAAACTGTATTTTAAAGTCAACTAGCTCATAGACTAATATTATTCAATCTTCGAAACAAATTTAAACGGGTTTCAGATTTCCCGGCTAATGTTGAATATGAGTATTTACCAATTCTAAGGCCTCTGCAGGTATATTCCGCAAGAACTTTGGACTGCCGCCATTTTGTAACGGATGAACCTTTTTTGACGCGGTTTCCGGCAATGAACTCCACTTGACCAGACCTTTAAAATGACGTGCATATCAATCTATGCTTACATTAAAGATTATGTACCTACTCCTCATGGGCCGTCCCCTGGTGAAGGTCAAAAAATGGTAATGCTTGCAAAAAGTAGTTTTCATACATATAAGATGATGTGAAAAGTTTTAATTTTCTAACAAATTTAGTTAAAAAGATATCAAGCCGTTTCCAGACTTTTTTGTCACCCTGTATAAATATATAAATATATATATATATATGAATTTGAACGGATGGTGTTTTTGGCCTCTAGGGACCTCAAAACGAAAAAAAAAAATAGGTCCCGCGTCTAGGTCTTACCATGAGTACTACGGTAATAGCTTAGTCCCTATATGGGAAATTCGCTAAAAGGAAACAGTAAATAAAAAATGGGTAACACAAGGTATTCAAATTTTCTAGTCAAAAGAAAAGAATGTTAAGCAACTTAGCAAAGAGTTCTACTGATGTTAACTTTATTGGCTATGTAAAAATGTACAAAAAAGTT